GTTTACTTTCATGTTCGATAGTACCTATTACACCCATCGGTGGTTCACGTTACAGTGACCGTGACCCGAGATTCGATTATTACGATAATTACACCGCGAACCCCGGCTAATGAATACACGCGCGATCGCACCGGTCGGCTCGGCGATCGGAACACCGACGACGATCCACCGTTGCCGGTGGCCCGATCGTCGAGCCGCGAAGTCGTTGGAAAAGAAAAATTCAAGTTCTCGGGTGAAACTTCGAGATAAATCGAGTGAGCCAAACAAAACGGCTTCGCCCCGAAGTTCACGTGTTTTTCGAGCATCACGGTACATTCGCGATCGTTCGATTCTCGTCTTCCCGTCTGTGATTCTTGATTGAGATCGTAGGAAAGCGTACAGTCGACGGCGCCAATGATCGAGGAAAGTTACCGAGAGAAATTACGATTCTCCGCGAGCCACGTTAGGAAAAAGCCCTACCACTAAACTGATCGCTCCGATCAACCCTCTTAATCACCGCTTCCGGTAACGTCGGGGTCGAGTGTTTCGAGAGAGAGAGAGAGAGAAAAAAAAGAAAGAAAGAGATCATCGATTTCGAATCGCCGCGTCGCGAGTGATCGGTTGACGATCGATCGGCTGCCAATGCGTCGACGCGCGGTATTAAGAGGGTTAATGTCGAGCGTGCTCGTCGGATCTAGAAAAATAGAGTGACGATCAGCGGCCTACCACAACGATTACGACCTAGACACTTTCTTAAGCTTATCGATTCTAGGGAACGATCTGCGATCGATTGCAGTTGACTCGATCAGTTCTGATCTCGCGATTACTCCTATGACAGTGCTCGAGAAGAGGTCGTTGCACACTCGGGATAGTTCGCGGACTACAGAGAGACCATAATCGATGAACCCAAGTACATGATACTCCGTTTCTCCTCGGGTTCGAACACCCGATCGCTCGAGGATAATCCCGCGACATCGAAATCGCCGACGGTTCGAACTTTGACCAGCGTTTCCGTAGAAATCGATAACGTTCCGATGATTCCGATTCGAATTTCCCGCCATCGCGCGGGACGCGCCGAAGCCCGCCATCAACGGCCGTTCCCCGTTCTTCTATGTAAAATAGGACACTTTTAAAGACCTAACCCTAGTTAAGACATTGCGCGACGCTCGCGTCGACGGTAAATTAGTAAATTAGTTCAATTAGCTCGAACAACATTCTCCTCGTCGATCCTCATCTCTCCGAGGATTGCGTTGGCTTGGCCAATGAGAGTCTTCGCGTTCCCTCCAATATGGCGGCCGGCTTGCGACGAAGACGATTGGTTTACAAGTGTATTACAAAACAAATAAATACATTAGATGATCATAGACATTTACGCGATAAAATCAACGATATAAGTCTGAATATATTCTAATCACCGTATTAATTATCAACGTAAACCATATGTCGAAAAAAAATGCTTCTAAGCTACGCCGAAGAACGCGAGGAGCCTTCTCGGCCAATCCAACGGACACGTGTCCTCCCGAATCGAGAGCTTCCGTTCGATCGATCCCTAAACCTACTTAACCCTCAATTTGTACCCTGTACTTCGTCTTCCGTGAACATGGTTCGCGAATCCGCTCGATAAATCCATCCCAGTCGACGTGTCTCCGGCTAGCGAACAGGCGGTCCGAGGTT